AATAAATACAGAACATTTCTGCTGTTCGCTTTAACGACATTTCAGCTATATATCGTTAGGATAAGTTCCGTTAAGTCGAACACTTTAACTCATTTTAACTGGTTTTAAAAGAAAATTTCGTGCTCTATTTTTTGCAATTTAAAATGGTTATTTGACCATTTGTCACTTAGCCACGTTTTAGTTGGTGGACGGCAGATTTTTAGAATATACAGAAACGTACAAACAGGTCAGTTGTTGGCCCATTTGCATGACGAGTTGTCATTGATGGATGGCCCTTATTTCGTCTCTATTTCTGGTTATACACTCGAATCAATACTGGGTGCCTTCAAATTTGACGTCTGTAGAAGCGTTGCAGTGACGCTGCAACTGCGCTTCTAAATATTCTATGAAAATTAGTAATGGCGCGACTACAATACCACAGTGATCCCACTGCAGCACTTCTATAAACGTCTAATTTGAACGTGCCCTAAAATGTCGCAAAAAAAATGACAATGATTTGCACTAACCAGGCCAATAAATGAGCAAAAGGCTAATAGAAGAAGCGGGTATAAGAATGAGATGGGTTTCTTCGGCGGCTTCGGGCATTCGGGCGGATCGGGCGCTTTGCTCGGGACACACGCACCACGTTGCTTCGCGCATACTAGCATGGGCTGCAACCGTACTATTGCGTTCTAACACTTACTGTAGGTTGTAAATGACCTACATATACTTAGGGCAGTCCTACGGATACCATAGATTGATGTTGACACAACAACGAAATCTAAATAATAATAATGATGACTATCACCATTGACTTACAATTATATGGACGTCGGGTCCGCGCTAAAAAGTGTCCGCACCTGTAAGGCGCTAAAATCGTATACAGAGCGCGACACTCCGCTTTAGTCTTCATTTGTTCTACGGACAGCGCGATACTGCGATGACATAACAATTTAAATTTCGAATAGGTTGACTTGGGACATTTTTTTCGTGGTTTTTGTATTAGACCCGTCGTCCATTTATTTGTAAGCATTGACTTACAATTATATGGACGTCGGGTCCGCGCTAAAAAGTGTCCGCATTTGTAAGGCGCTAAAATCGTATACAGAGCGCGACACTCCGCTTTAGTCTTCATTTGTTCTACTGACAGCGCGATACTGCGATGACATTACAATTTAAATTTCGAATAGGTTGACTTGGGACACTTTTTTCGTGGTTTTTGTATTAGACCCGTCGTCCATTTATTTGTAAGTCAATGTTTGTAAGTCAATGACTATCACAGAGAGATTTCTTATCATGGTATGATTTCTCTTTACTTTCCCGATATTTCGGGACGGTTACACCAAAGTATAACAAAACACGTAATGTAACGCCATACAAATATAAAGTGGTGGTCATATAATTAGAAACACTTAGTCACTTGGTAGTCTTTTCATGTAACTAACATTATTATTGAAATTAATTGGAGGGAAAATATTAATTGACTATATTGTAAAGTACACTCATATCCTAGTTTAAAAACACGCTATGAGATTTAGAGAATTGAGATAATAATTTTGAAAAAAACTATTTAACTAAATCCTTAATACTGGCAGTTGGACAACTAATTAGAAACACAGTAGTATAACTTACATTCGAAACTTGAATTTTAAAACTGAAATACTCTTTTCACAAGGTTGTCACAGTATGAATTTTGCCGCCTTTTCTTACTTCTTTAATTAGGTTACCATATGTGTGGCTAAATTATTAGAAATCGTTAAAACGAAGAGCTGTGATGCAGTAACAAGAAAGGTTATAATGAATTTACATTTAAAACGAAAATGTACGTACCGAAAAAACCGCCGATCATTTAGAGTAATCTGTAAAGATGATATTTAACGTCATTACACATTTAAAAAAAACATGGAATATCTGATTAGGTGCCAAGAAATGGTCGACCAAGGAAGACAACTGTTCAAGAAGACAGGCTTATGATTCGTTTAGCTAAGACCCTTTAAAGGTTCTAATGTTTATTAGAAAACAGGTATATTCACAAGACGACATTCGAAACGTGTCTGCAAGACTAGTCCGTAGGTGGCTGGTTGAAGGAAAATTATTTCGAAGGGTTGCCACGAAAGTATCACTTCTTAATAGGCAACATAGAAAAAAACCGTTCAGGTTTCGCTAGAAAATATGGCAGTTTTAGATGAAACTAAAATAAATTTGGTAAATTCCAACGGAAAGTGATATGCACGAAGATCAATCAACGAGGCTTTGAATAACAAGTACCCTAAAAAGACAGTTAAGCACGTTCTACCACCTTAATAATTAATCTTTTTAGTGATTAGTTTTCAAGTGTAGGGATGTTTGTCGGGAAACGGGACTGGTCCCGTGAGAAAGATTAAAAGTCTGATGGATCAGTATCAGTCCAAATGTATCTTAGAGGAGATAATGATCCTATATGAATATTTACCAGTGATTGATTTCGGTACGATGTGAGTTAAAGCATACAGCAATCGGCGTTAAAGTGTTTCTCAGAGAACAATCGGTGACAGCATTAGAGTGGCCTGTCATTAGCCAGGGCTAAAATCCAATAGAAAATTTGTGGCACACTATAAAGAAAACATTGTCACATAAACATGTCACCAATATCAGTTCATTGCTAAGCTTTTGTAGAATTTTGGAGATGTATTTCTTTGGAAACGTGCAAAATTGACAGAATCAATGCCGCGTCGTTGTAAAGCTGTAATCGACAACAGAGGGTACCCTACCAAATACTAATCAGTTTAGGATGAAGTATTTATTCAAATTATTTGAGGTTTTCTTCACTATGCTCAACATTTTCTGTTATTTTTTTTTGTTTTTAATTAATTATAATAATTCTAATTATTTGTCCGGCACAGTCCATTGTATTTTGATTCGAACTTAATAAATGTTTTCATTTTGTAATATTACCGTTGTTTATTATATGTATAATAATACATTTTAGGTGCCGATGCATCTTCGAAAATACGTCGGAGCTCTAATCACGTTAAAAATTTGTTAATAAGATGATTTATAATGACAATAGAAGTCAATTTCTCTCTGGCAGTTTCTAATTATATGACCACCACTGTAGCAGCGTGGGTTATATTATCACGCCCGCCGCGAACCCTGCACGGACGCACACATTCGAATAAACTCGCGGTGAACTCGAGTTGCGATGTGCAAACGTGTGTCGCAGACGCCGTTCATTACCGCATTTTAATGTATGTAAGTAAATCAAACTCGCATTTGATTTCCATTTCATAATCATACTCTTAGTGGAGATACTTAGGTACCCGCGATACAGGTATTAAAATGTTAATAGGTATTTTTTCAAATCATAACCTGTTGTACCTAACTAAACAATAACATGACAACCCTACGCTCCGAGCGACTTGCACGCATTTGTATAATAATCAAAGTTGTTTGACATTGTCCTTGTCAACATTTTTTTCATCATTTGTTTTTCATTAAAGAGGTTTTCTTGCAAAACTTGTAAATGGAGCCACTAACTCAGAAATTTACTTGTTAAAACTAAAATCGTTTGTTCCACCATCTAAGTGAGGACATCAGTACTTGAAAATCCTACAGGACCCACTACAGTGGAACCAACAGTGAAACTTCCAACCAAGAGTGGAATCAACAGTCCGAAAGGGACAGGCTGCAGTTGGACTACTTGTCTTCTTGTTCTCTCTTGCTCCACGGTTACAAGTAAACTTGCCAGAACGACAGTCGATAGCTTCAATTTGAAATCATACCGTGATAAGCAACTTGTAGTTAGTGATAATTTAATAATTATCAAAGATTATAAAATTATTATTCACTAATGTGAATAACTAAGAGTATTAAAATCTGTGTTGTAAAAATAGCTGGTGATGTAACCAGTTCTATGAGGGTAGGTATATCACTGTCAAGTGATGTCAGACTGTTTAGCATAGAATTTACAATCAGTCTGTCACCAGAGGCTAGTTTCGAGATAGGTAAAACAAGTGTGTGCAAACATGTAACTTGGAAGATTTCAACATCTTAAATCTATCTAATTTCTTGATTAAAAATATCTATGGTTGTTGGCGCGGTACAGCCATTTATTGGTGGTCATATCAGCATGTCATAAATTGCATTGATCAAAATATTGGAAAGTGAAGAAAAAAATATTTTATTTTTAAAGAATACAACACTGGTGCGATCCATAGGCAATTCACTCTATCAAAGTACAAGTAAAAAAGTCCATTATGTAAGTCCATGTATGGACTTTTGGTTTGTAGTAGTTCCACGTGGAACCGAGTACATGGAACAACTGGGATTAAATGCAAATTACTTGTTCAATATTTAATTGTTTAATTAAAACCATCAACACTGAATGTCGATAGTGTCCCAAATCTGGCGAATCAATTGGAATCGATTTTTTTTATAGGCGTAACCTGTATTAAGGATATGATATGAATGTTTGCTTTATCCGTGTTTTTGTAAACGTAAGCTAGTGTTGTCGAGTTTTGTTTGCGTGAGCCCCCAAAAAGTGATAGAAAGTGTTATTTGAGAAAGAATGTGCATCTCCATTGTTGTATGCTCTAAATATTTCTTTCCCACTAAGGCGGTTGCTGAGATTTGGCGCCCACAGCGGCCGCTCGAACGATGGCAGGGTCTTATGGTAGGGCCGGTCCGGTCTGTCAGTCTTATGCCTTGTCCAGAAGAAGCGAATTCGCCGCAAATCATCTCACGCGTTTACGTTGCGTCCAGAAGAAGTGTTCGACGCGCGAAGGTTTGAGGACGTATTCAGTCATCTACTAAACATGCGAGTTGGTCGACGCGGTCAAGTTGGTTAACTTTGCACGCGTCTTACGCGCGAATTTTAAACACGCGCGATACTTTAAATACGCGTGAACGCGATGTATTATGCGTCCAGTAACCCGCACGAAACGATTAGCAGCGAATTCGCCAAGGTTTTAGAATTATTTCCATAACAATCACCGGTTACTGAAATCAGGATTCACGTGAACATTTATTTTCACAAAATCAAAGTTACATTGTACAAGTACAAAAACGTTACATTTACAGAATATAATAATACTTATTATCAGGATCTATATAAACGGAAATACGCAATGTACAAACATTTTATCATTCTGAATAGCATTCCTAGATTTAGTTTTTTGCACCTTCCAGGAAGTACCGCGGGTTTTGTATGTAATTGGAAAAATGAACGCATGCTTATGCATTTTCAGTTTTTTTGCCATGTGATTTCTTCAATAAGTTATTCAGTGTTAACTAAAGTAACCCAGTTCCAAGTACGGTGTGTCAAACATGAATAAGAGCATTTATTCTTCACGTAAGTGCTTAAATCAGAAATTTATTATGTTGGAAACTTTAAAAGAACTTAAGATAAAATACCTACACAACTTCTGAAAATTTTTAGAAGTCGAAGTTCATTTAATCTAGAACCAAAAACACTATGATTTTTTACAAAGTTGTAAGTTTTTCTGACTTTTAAATGACGTTGCATATTTGTATTTGTTTTACGTGAAATCAGAGCCCGTGTGGAGTTTTTTCCAATTTGTCGATAGCTTCACGCTCCTCGGAGTGGTTTTCTTCATCTTTTTCGGCCTGCTCGAGCAGCGCGAGCCGGTCAAGCGGGCGCCAAGGCTCATGAAATGCGAACTTGAACTTGGCTTTGCCGTGGTAACCAAGTCTAGGCATCGCCTCCGGATCTTGATTTGGGCTTGGCAAGCGCTTTTTGTCAGCCTCCCTCCAGTAATAAGGATGCACTATAGCAGAGTTATGGAACAGGTCACTGAGCGCACCAATAGAGTTGTCCACGCGCGCTTTATTTATGTCCGGGTTGCTGAACGGCTCCCTCCCGCATTCCCATTGATTGTCCTGCCAAAAAATGTTACACAAGTCACTCGACACGAATCGCGGAGCCTCATCCAGTCTCAGTGCGTTCGACGAAATTCAGTGTCCCGAAAGGAATATCAAATAAAACTACAGCTCAAATTTAGAGATCTATTGCATGTAAGAAGAAGTACATTAACAAATGAATCTTCTCTCTTCTTTGAAGCGTAAACAAAGCCTTACCGGTCAGTCGGCGTCGGCGATGACCAAGTCAAAGGAGGGCATCCCAAGGCCGACTATGTGGTTGGTGTCGTCGTCTTTTTTTTTGCCTTTGCCAAAGAAACTTTTGAGCTTCCCCATGAAGGTGTTATCTTCATTCTCTTCCTCTTCAATTTCCTTGGATTCCATTTGGTCTTGGGATTTCTGCCCTGCAGTGTGCCCCGAGTGCCCCTGGAATCCTTTCCCATAGTCTGAATGATCGGTCAACAGCAGCACGCCACTCCACTGATGACAAAGCACAAGCTGGATTCATTAGATACTTTCCACATCGCGGGCTCTGATTTCGTCAAACGCACTATCGAATCGTTAGACGCGACATCGTATCATGAATTAGGTACGGTAGAACAATCTCTAAACAACCCAGAATTGAGTTAGTGTTGGAAAACGTGTGCAAATCAAGTACTTGAAACAAACCCTTAAATGTATAGCAAGATTTCCAACACGCTCAAAACTAAGTAGGCACTCAAATTGCCAAATTAATCACTTGTGAAGTTGCTCCTAGTAATATGCACGTTTTAATTAAACAAATATATTTTTATATATCGCTATCAAATCCTCAACACAGATCCGGGACAGCCTATTTTTTTCAGGACCATAACCCAATATGGGTAGTACTTTCAAATAAATTTGGTATGTCTTCTTAATAATGCAAAAACTTTCCTGCCATTGTTTTCCTTCACCGATCACATTATCTCCTCAGGATTGAAAGAAATAGTAAGAATTAGCAATCAAAGTCGTAGCCTTAACCCTATGTCCAAAATTACATTGACTTGGCCCATTCACAGTAACTCTAGTCCGTTCCCGTTTAGAATGTGGTAAAGTAATCGATTACATGTTAAAACTTTGTGCTGAAATTAATTATTACATTTGTAACGACAAAGTACTGTGACTAAGTAGTAACTGGGACATAATTGATTAGTCATTAATAGTATTTTTGTTACGAAATTACTAGGCAGATGATGAATAACAACGAATTACCTTGGCATTGCTTTTCGGCAAAGGAGGAACTAAAATATCTGGAGTCTTGATCCTGTAAGGGTCATAATTGGTAGGTTGCGGTGTCTGAGGGCAATCAAAATGCCAATTGCCGTGTGGCATTTCCGGCTTAGGCCATTTTTCTAAACGGTCCTTGCCGCGCATTTGGTACTTGAAAAACTCCTCGTCCTTGCAGCATTCGGGGATCTTCTGATCAGGGCAAACCGCTGGGAGCGGTTTCCCGTCTTTACACTTGCATGGAGGGCCTTTCGAACAGGTTCGCTTTTGATACTCTACTGCAACGTGAAAGAACAATAAACAGACTTTTTTATCCAAGTATGTCTAAACGACAACTATTACGAACTTTATTTGGCGTTAATACATCAGCCGAGAAGAGGAGAGTGAGAGAGCAGAAAGCTTTATTTGAAATCTCTAAACTTCAACTCCAAATTTAAGTCACTGCTTAACTGCTTATAGTCACGGCCCAAAAGGGGTAATATATAGTAGAGCCAAAGGAAGGCGGAGAGTGAACCACAAAGGAGACCAATCGAGTTGCAGTGTATAACGAAACACACTCGTCGCATAGGTTGCAGCAATGGGCCGAGTAGAGTATAAAATATACGTCGCGGAGTCTGTCTTTGAAACCTTTTAGAAGCTTAAAGCTGCTATATAAAATCCTATACTATAAAACAGTAACTAAATGCGCCAACGAACTATAAGCTACCCAACGCATTCGTATTTCTAGGCACAACCAGACTGAAAATAGAGCCCACGGACTAAATGTCTAAACCAATTTCTAACTATACTTAGTTCAAAAAACGGTAAAAATATTACCTATATTGTTTAGTATTTGGCCGGAACGTTGATTGCTTACAGCTATTACACAGTTCCAGTGTTTTACATGCGGATATATGCGAAGGTTTCCTAACATCTTATTTAGAAAATGTAACTCAAAAACATTTAAAATACTTATATTTTTTCAATTAAATAGTTTTATTAACAGAAATTTTGGAAAATCATTGTTTTTGAATGGACAGAAATTTTGCTAAGAAAAAATGAACTGCTTGACGGCGATTAGAAAATCGAATGTAAAAAGACAGAAGTCACTTTTTTGCTGTAAGCGTTCGGGAATGAAGAAGATTCCATAATTAACAAGGAGGCTACAGTGCCTATAATGGAAAGGGTATATTATATTCTATAATATATTGCACTTTAGAAAGTGCGTCTGGCGCCGCGCGAGCCCGCACCTTTTTCTTTTTTGTTTAAAGATATTCGATCCTTATCTATGAAATTGCCGTTTTATACAGAGAATTGAATTTTTTTTATGAAAATTTAAATTATATATTATATATATATATTATGAGAGCAAGGTTTGGTGAGTATGGTGGGTGACTGAGATTTTCCAGTCGTAGCTCCTGTAGGTTTGAGAAGGTCCGATGTGTGGTGTGTGGACGAGGCTGTTGTGGAGGAGAGGTAAACTAGAGCAGTATACAATTCTCCGTTGTTTGACAGCCAGCTTGTCTATTATCACTTGCAATTCTTCACAGTAAACCTCTGCAGTAATTGTTGTGCTAGGTCTCAAGAAGCTGTAATGAACATTGTCGGACAGGTCGAGCATGTAACTCAGAAGCAGCTTCTTCTGACTCAATTTGTGTTTGGGACATGGTTTGGCTGCCACCCCAGTTGAGTGCCTATTCAACAAGTTAAGCCAAGCTACAACGTAATTTTGTTGTTTTTGTTGTTCAGCGAGTTAACTACTATCCGGTCGAATACCGGATAGTAGAACTATATCCGGCCGAATACCGGATTTTTGAAACTGAGAAAAATTCATAATCAGTACGCCAAATAAACTGATTTATTGATAAAAGACGATGGTAATAGAATAAACAGTAACTATAGGGTCGTTGAAAATCTGTTTGTTACTTGTAACTGAAAGAACTATGAAGATAGATAACACCATCTGTAAATTTAGTACTCAAATTTCAATAAAGGCAAATTATGGCGGATGAAGACCAGTATTCCTGCAATCAGTGGTAAAAGTTGGTTCTATTTATTTTCATAAACGAGGCCAGCTTCAGACGACAGTTTTTTACTATAAACTCTTGCAAACTTTGTAATATATTAAGTCGGTACTACCTACTTGTTACTGCCAGACGACCAAATGAAAGGATTGTGATCTCGATGGAATTTAAATTGTCCTCAAATACAATATGTAAGGTACTTATAATAACGAAACGTGTGAGTGGATTACATTTTTTATTTTTTCGCGAATCTGGTATCAAGGTTTAGAACTAGTTAGACCACAAACAAATTAATGAAATCAATTTGAAACAATGCTGTCATGACTGCTTGGCGGCAGAAATGGGTAAGGAGCCGAAATTAGCAGTGCTGGGGTCCTACTATGACCTTATAAGCAGCCAGCCAATTTCCATGCAATTCACTCGACGTGGTAAAACTGAATTGCTTAGATACGTATCATGACCTATTATACCTATTATACCTAGACCTATTATACGTATCATGATTCTTTTTTGTTGGAAAGAGGGTACCTCCATAGTGGTCCCATTTAATTTTGAAGAAAGTCATCCACCTCTAAAGGTCGTATTCTAGAACTCTACTCAATGCTCAAGTCAAGATTGCACTGGAAACACAAGCACTGGAAATACGACCCTAAGGGCAGGGATTTGAGTATGATTTCGAGTGCTTTAAACTATACTTAAATCCTGACTTGAGCATTGAGTAGAGTTCTGGAATACGACCCTAAGAGTGGCTGTTCACGCATGAAGATTCATTTTTATAAATAGCGCCTAAATTTTATTATAAGGAACAATTATTTTAATGGTTGATTTTGCTATTCTCCAATTCAAGGCGTTTTTCTCTCAATATACTTTGAGTAGTGAGAACCGATTTTATTATTCCTGTATCAAGTTCCGTATAGTGGCGATGAATCCGGGTTCACACACTTTTCGGTAACCGATTAAAAAAACTTGGCAAATAGATGTAATTCCACGTACTTTTCAGGTCGGTTTTTTTAGTACTCTGTACTGAGATTATTAAACGTTAATTATCGTCTCTGGCTGGCTAGCTGACAGCTAACAAGAGCGAGATGGAACTACATACTAAATCATATGATAGAAATAGACTGACGTACTACCCTGGGAGCGTTCAAGCACTATTAACCGGTTGTGTTCAAAATGAGAATAATTATATTTTTTTATTAATTTTATTATTGATTATGCTTAATAAGTTGTTTTGTAATATCGGCAACTTTTCAATCATACTTTACAATTTGTCGTACGACAAAATTACATGCCTTCTCTAGTCACTATCATTGAAATTAATAATGTGTAATGCAACTTGTAACTTTTTTGAATTGCTTATTTTTACAAATGACAACGCCATTTGCCATGATACGATTTTGCTGTGAAAGAAATAATAAACGGATTTCGAATGGGGAACGTAAACTGCATAGACAGAGAATTGTTTTTGTGAGGTCATAGTACGAATTTGACAGACAATCCAACTTACAGGCTTATATAAAATTGCTCTAAGGCTCAACTCACACTGGCGCAGAGTTGAAACGTCGCGTCGCGTCCTGTTTTACAACGCAACGCTCGCATTAGTGCGCCCGGATCACAGTGTGGTCGGCGTCTGATGCCTCACTGCGCCCAAGTAACGCGCGGCGGCGAAGCCGCTCGACTACAACCAGGAATGACGCGCGACTCCATATTTCCACACACAAATATAATAATGGGAAAATATAGATGAATGTGCGAATAGACGAAAGACATGACGCTTCGCGACGCTTCGACTCTGCGCCAGTGCTAGTTGAGCCTATGAGCTCATAGTAGGCCCCCTGCTCTTCTAATTTTGACCGGTTTACCAGTTACCAAAAATCTCTTGTGCGATAAACATTTAAAAGATCACAAAAAAACTTTAAAATATTTTTTATAAAACCGGATTTATTTCCACTATTTCTTTTTCCTTTTGAATTTTGAACTTCATCCCAATCTGCTAACCCGTATCACCACACCCGTCTCATACCACTAGGGTTCTGATCGGGTGGGAAGTATACGGATACAGTTTTCACCAGACAATGGTCGGAAGTACCCAGTGGGGCATCCTTATCACAGAGTATTGCTCTAGATCCGTTGTTAGCAGAAGGTTCAAGCAATTACCGTATGAGACTCAACATCTAAAATCCTGATCTATAGGGCTATTACCTAAATATGTTTTCTGATTTAATTTGGGGTTTTTTTCTCCAATGTGCTAATTTTGGTGACGATGCTCAATTTTGGTGATCAAATAAATTTTCCTTATCATATATTATTAGGGCCGGTAAGATATTCTTTTTGGAATTAATTTTTAATGTACTACCAACCCACAATATTTACTTGAAATACAAAATTTAAAAATTGTCACCAAAATCAGGTAAAAAACCGTACCTGTTGAGGTAATATTTTTTATAACACCGGGTATACTTTCACTATTTCTTTTTCCTTTTGAATTTTGATCCTTAACCTCGCTAAGCAAGATGTGTGGAGGCTGCGGAGGCTACATTACTATCTACAGGCTACAGGACACGCTTAAGCGGTGCCAGCAGTGACAACCCCTTCAGTTTTATAATAGAAGTACTCTGGAGAATAAGTTAGCGACCTAGTGCCGAGAAAACATTGCCTCGCGTGATTGATTAGAGATAAGGCACTCAAGCCACATTCGTAATAGCAAAGTAATTAGTTGGGTCTAAAGTCTGTGCGGTGCGAATGTATTAAGAAATCAGTGACCTTTCATACTTCGATTCACAACGCGAACTAACCTAACCGAGCTAACTAAACTAACTCAACAATCCCGCTAAGTTATGTAAAATATGTCGCCCTTCTGCCGCAAGTACGTGAGCTAAGTTAGGTAGCTTCGGTGTGGCCTGGGCTTTAACGGCTACACTTATCCTTGTGCCTTTATGTTACGTCCTTGTCATTTTTATGAAGTATTGTAAAAGAGAGCACTCTATGCTACGTCGATAACTTAAATATAAATAGTATAGTGGAAACGAAGGATTGCCAAATGATCTGATGAGATAGATCTGTAAATTTAGAACTCAAAACTCGCACGGCAAGAATAGGGCTTTTAATATTTTTTTAATATTTTTTTACAATTCACAAATAAATCTGTTGGAATGCACACTCGCAGGTATATTCGACGGCAGTAAAGAATAACCGGTTATCTGCAAAATGGTGATGACAGGTGGGGCAAGACATCGACTGATTGGTGGCCGAGGATGGGCAAAAGAAGCGTCCGGCGCCCTGTTGCAATTGCAAGGCGGGTCGACGACATAGTACACGTCGCGGGACGTCAATGGATGCGGCTAGCACGGGACCGTGGTGGATGGCACAAACATCGGGATGCCTATACCCAACAGTGGGTGAAATCAGGCTGTGGATGATGATGAACCGGTTACTCTTTGCTGCCGTCGATATTCCCATTTCATAATTATATTTCTGCCGCCGTTAGTTGAAAGGTTGAAATAAGGTTAATGTTAAGAAATTAAATGGAAAAGTACCTTTGCAATTGGATCTCGGATTTCTTGAGGAAACGTTCGATTCGAGTGGTTTTAGAAGACTACTCTTCCCAAAATCGGGCGATTGATGGCAGAGTTCCACAGGGTTGCGTACTGTTTGCAACTCTCTTTCTGCTGCATATCAACGATATGTTAATTCCAGGCGCCTTTGCGTATGCTGACGACAGCACAGTTGTAGGTAGGTACTTGACCAATGCAAGGGTCAGTGGAGAGGACATCCAGTCTTGTTGGTACTCCATGGTTAGTCGTTTGGATTTGATACTTAACAGTCTCTGCTAGGGGCAATACCAATCTTGTCAAAACGCTACGAAAACGCAGACGTGTCTATTCTCCACAAAACGGAGTTTCTTTGACCTGACTCCGACTTTTCGTGATAATATATATTTACCGATAGCCGACTGTCTCTAGCTACTTAGGATGGAACTGTCCTCCAATTGGATCTTCGGCAGATAGATAGAATCCATGGCCAAA